AACAAAATACAAGTAGCTTTCCGATTCCTCTTCTTTGCCATGGCTAACAGTGATCAGATCAAAACGTCTCGCAACTGTCCACCCGACATATACAGCAATTGTATTAGTGCCCTCCCAGCTTCGACTCTCGCTACATTGACGCCTCACCTGCCGGCACTTCAAAGCATACACGCGGCCACTGTAATGGTCGTAAACCTCTTCTACAGGAATCCAGACTTACTTGCCGTGCAAGGTTTCGGCTATCTCATCCCACGATCCATCCCCTTGGCCCAAAACCCCGAATGCGCACTCGGCGTTGTCTTTGACAGTCAAGTAGAAGTCACCTCAATGCCCGTTCCAGGGACAAAGGTCACCGTAATGCTAGGCGGCCACTACTGGGATTCATTTTCTTATTACCCGGATGCAGAACAAGGTGCAGCAATGGCGAAGCAATTGCTGAAGCGGCATCTCGGTATTCATGTGGAGCCGGAAGCGGTTTTGGTATCATTGAATAGGAATTGCATCCCGCAATATTACGTTGGACACGATCAGAGGTTGACAAGTACTGATATCCATCTCCGAACGAAATTTGAGGGCAAACTCTCTGTGGTTGGAAGCTCATACACCGGAGTCGGCGTGAATGACTGCATTAGGGCAGGAATGGAAGTAGCTGCAGGACTTGCGGATTCTCCAGAGGAGGGATATACTGGACTGGAATTCTTTCGGGTCCCAAAGCCGTGGTGATTGAAAACTCTTAAAATACATGCATTGTAACAATAACTTTAGGATATTGTGCTGGCGTGGATGATAGATGAACTAAGCCCTCCTAGATATACTTAGCATCCACGATGTTAAAACTTATTGGCCTAATACACAATAATTTATTATGATAATTATCATGCATAATACAACACAGAATATAGTATTAATTGTTAGAGTGAAACAATATAGAAACGAAATACGAGTGCGTAGATGGTTGAGAAATTGTGAATTAAGAGCCTTGTTCTAGGTCCAGACTAATATGCAAGGCAGCCCAAAATCTCAACAGTCTGCCTACGATGATCTAGCGGTTCTGCATATACCAACTTATTTAACCCCAAAACTCTCTCTAGCAGCAATTCCAAATCGCTCAATAGCATGGAATATTTTGTCTTCCGATGCAGCGGCATACGTCGCCCTGAAAAACATATCCGTCGGTTCCTCAGCATCCTTCTGGCCCAGAAACCAGCTGCCTCTGCAGATGAGCACCCCCTGGTTGACCGCGGCCAAGTATATTTCCTCTTCTATCTCAAGAATACGTTTGGTTTTGGCGTGTGGGTGTCTGCGCCAGTCTACTGATAGCCATAGCTACTAAGCGTTAGCGGAATAATAGGGAAATGTTGTATACACCACTTACAAACATGCCAGCAGCTGGCGGGTTCCAGCTAACAATATCCTTCGGTAAAAATTTCTCACATGCTGCAAGAATGGTATCTCTCCGCTTGGTATAGGACAGTCTGAGGGCAATCAGCCATCCGAGATATCCGTCGTGGCCCCAGCTCTCATCGAGCAATTTATAAAGGAACATCTGAGACAGTCCACTTGGATTCTGACTTGAAGATTCGCTATGGCGAACAAAGCGCTCAACAATCTGTGCCGAAGCTGTGATCCAGCCGACTCGTGTTCCAGGTGCGATGACCTTGGAAAAGGAGTCCATCCGCATTACTCGCCCGTCGATATCTATGCTAAGATATGTTGGGACCAGCGCTTGGAGGAACTCCTCGTTGCTTGCTGGCGGAGGAACATCCGGGGCATTAGGACCTGTGTAAGGCTGCATCTGGAGGAAGTAGTAAGGTTCATCCTCAATAATATAAATATCATGCTTTTGGGCGACTTTATATATTGCTTGTCGCCGCACTGCACCTTGCGTGGCTCCAGTGGGATTTTGTCCAGTGGGTATTGTGTAGAGAAGACGGGGTTTCCTGGCCTTTCTCTCTACTTCATCCCAATTACATAGAATTTCGTCCATGTGTTCTGGCAGAAGGCCCTGGTCGTCCATCTTGATGCTAAAAAACTTGACGCCGAGGGGAAGCGCCGTCTCTACAGCTGAGGCAAACGTGTATTCCTCAGCTAAGACGTAGTCTCCTCTTTCACAGAACATACGGTATGCTTGCTCCAAGGCCGCTGTACTACCAACGGATAAGGCGCAGTTCCAGTCTTGGTATGGCGGGTTGCAGACCATCTCGGTGTGCTCCGTCACAAATCGAATCACCTGCGCCGATCCTACTCCTAAGCCATAGTTCATAGAAATAGCGAGATCGTATATGCCGTCTCCTTCCGAGGCATCATATTTACCGGCTCTGAGTATCGAGCCGGATTCTTTTGTTGCTTTCTCGGAGAAGTTTGGTGGTGTGGGAACCTTGAATGTCACCTCTTCAAGGGGAAAGTACTCTGCACATGGTAGCCCCCCTCCCAGAGATATTAGCCCGGGTTTCTGCAGGTACTTAGCAGCGGCCTTCAAGCTTGAAGGGTTCCTCGACTTGCTCTCAAGAGTCAGGTAGTCTATATACGTCAGTTTGGGAAATAAGCGTAAGAAGCAGAAGCCTACGGTCCCATCTCTTGGCCTTAGGTCTGCCTGTAGCCTACGGGAATCAGTACAGAACTTAATGGCGAAGAATAATAACGAACCGGACCCTTGAAATAGTCACTAGAGGTATACGCCGCGGTACCTGCGACTAACTTGCCAGCCTTGGCCCTCCTGGCCACAACGCCCTTAGTTGTTAATGGGCCAGGAAGTGTAATGCTTGTTGCATCTATACCGCCGTCGACTTCAATTGCTGAAGGAGGTGACATTATGAGTATGGGGAAGAGTTGAAGGTGGGGAAGGTTGAAAGAGCGGGATCGTATCGATCTTTAAATGCAGTAGTCACAAACGATGAATGGGATATTGACAACAGAAGGGCGCGTGAGGATATTAAGATACGTACCGAGCGGGCCGCCGAATCGGGACACGATTCCCGAAGATAACCATAAAATATTCGGCACCAGCAGCAGCAGCCAGTCAGTGCAGTTTGTGTTAGTTATCGCACTGGAACTTCATCCCAGCAAAGTGGGCTCGCGTTGATACCGCGTCATGGTCGTCGCTAACCATCGGCTCACTACGGTATAAACTTTGTACCTGAGGCATAAATTTCTCAGACTAGATCTTATCTCAGGACTCAATTTTGTGTTTTACTGTTGTGATCCCCTCTACTCTTTCGCTATGGTGATTTTGAGTGATCTGATGTTGCCTCTCAGCGCCAGAAATTTCCCTCAAACCTAGCGAAGTAACGCGTGCATTTCATGTAAGATTACCTCTTGCCTCAGTTTTACCTTCCCCCCACTCATGACCGCAAATGTCTTCCAAGCGACCTGTACCACCTACCCACGCTGGGATATAATTTCCTTATATACCCAAATTGGAATGGCCAACAGCATGGCGACAGAGCATACAGTCCATCAAGCACTCTGCAAAGTCTCGTGGTTCACATACACACAGACCTTGTCCCACAATGGCATCGAGAACCGAGAACTAGAAAGGGGGAAGAGGTTCAACCTTATGGGATGACAGCTTGCTCCGAAAGATTGCAGTCTCCATAGATCTAAATATGCAGGCCTGCACGCAATAAAGGCCAAGGCGCCCAGCACTCTAGCGTTTCTATTTAGCAATGGTATTTCTCAGGTCTCCATGCTCTTCCTGATTTCCGTCTCCTGTTTTCATTGCGCTGAGGGCGTAGGCGCCGAAACTCACGTTCGTGGTCTGTCGCCTTTCATGGAAAATGTCAGCCACCACATATCCTCCAGAGACATCTCAGGGCGTCGTAACCTCATGGCTTCCACTCACGACTGCCTTCAGCCCTCCGGCTGGTTGCTCCAATTCCTTCCAGCTAAGCGGGTCAAGTGGATCAAATCTCATTGCCTGTGACCCTCAGTGGAACTGAATCTGTACTCGTAGAACTGAGCATCATGCCAATGATATGCCCATCGAACTGGAAACCCTCGTATCGTCTGTTAGAGATCAAATAAGCACACTGGCCATGTGCTGTCCTCCGTGAAACTAATGCAGCCCAAAAAGTAACATAGGATTTATGTGTTGACTATCATCTCATCAGAGACTATTGCCTCGCGTCTTCCGGTGGACTGTCTGCTGGAGCTGAGACAGGAGTTGGTGTCGCCGCTGCGGTGGTAGTTGTCACTTTAATTGTGTTTCTGGTACTATATCTCCTGCGCCGGAAACAAGCACATCCTCCCTCATGCACTCTACCACCTAACACGGTTAAGGTCGAGCCTTGGATACGGCCGGAACCCAGACACGAAATCGAAGGACGAAATAGAGGGCACAAGCTTCAAGCTCAGAGTACAGGGCACCAACTCCATGCAGACAGAGGTAGAGAGCTACCTAGGGAGCCGAGACCCCCCGCCTACTCGCCACCGCTGGGGTTGCCATAGAATTGGCACGATTAGAGCAGCATTGGCTGGCTTAATGCTGTTGACAATGTATATAAAATAATCCACACTGTACATAGTAACGGGAAACGCAATAGGAAGCGAAAATTTTTTTTTTATTATAGACATCAAACTCAACTAAATTCATTATTTGACCAGACCGTCCAGAGGCACCTTCGCAATACCAATCAACACAAACACAGAGAGAACACTTGAGTACTTAGAAGTAGGTGCATTTAATGCTACTAAATGAAAAGATCGGGGAATCACAGTTGCTCAACGAGCCATCTGCCCAAAATATTGTGCCCAATTATTTGCCTGTCTCCCTGGATACTGAGCATACTCATGATTGTATCAGGTAACTTGTTTAGTCCCACGCCACTACTTGTGGAGGACCTTCGCCTACCTCTCGCTTACGCCACCCAAAAAAACAACCGAAAGACAGGGCTAATGAAGCATGGGGAAAAGGCACAGACATTGAGAAATATGAGATTTATAAAAAAAAATGTTAAAAAAACACGCGGAGCAGGTCAGACGAACTGAACTGTCGGGGATTGAGCCCGAGGCGGGACTCGAACCCGCAACCTTGAGGTGCCTAAATATCCGGATTATGGTCTTTTAAGAGCCACACGCTCTACCGATTGAGCTACCCGGGCCGGATTGTTGGAAGGGAATGACTTATCTTTCATGATATAGTAGAATCGGGCTTATGGTCAGTGTAAGCGAGTGCACCCGATGAAATGGTGCAATAATAACCCGGAAGACCGAGGGAATCGCAAGCTGGCCATTACCAGTGTACCATTACTCCTCGTCCCGTCTGCCCACTGTCTGACATCCGTCCCTTTCGTTTTCTTGGCGGTTAGCTTCCTCTTGTAGGCTATTTTTTATCTCCTCTTTCAGCTCTCTCGCGATGGCATGGCTCATCTCTGTACATTTACCCCTCTCTGATCAGCTTTGTCTATTGCATCGTCGGCCTGGCTAAATGTCCTTCGCTATTCAAGTGGCTTAGGATTCTACTATTCGTGTATTCTAGAGAATTCTAGCGCCTTAGGATTCTGGTATTCTAGACTACTGTAGGATTGTGCGAGCATTTTATTTGTGTCGCTTATCAGGGTGATTCTCCTCTCTCTGCATTTGAGGGGGGAGTTCTCGAGCCAATAACTCTGTCATAACTCAAATCATGGCAGGACGCACCTTATACCAGTTTATAAAATTGAAAGTGTCTGCTTAGCGCGGATGTGAAATATGCCAGTGAATGAAGAAGTAAAGGGTCGAAAGGACAGAGAGGTGCGGATTAATTGGTTGGACAAGAGTATTGGAAACAAAAACGAGGTACAGAGGAATGTGCTATATAAGTGAAAGAGATATAAGCAAGAATTAAAGAAATGGAAGATGAAATCGAACACATATTCATACTACACACCTCTATCGTATAATTGATCGAGCGACAGCGTAAGAGTCCATTGGCCGAGGGCGATGGATACGGAAATTGACGTGTGGAGGATCGGCAGGCAGGATCCCCTCGAACAACTCCCTGATAGGCACTCCGAAAGACCCTCAGGGAAGGTACAGGCGAGAAGGAGAGGGGCAATGAAAGATACGGAACAGTGGAGGAGTATGTTTTGTTTGTGGCCAGTGGTCGACCTCTTCTTTGTCCGTAGCCCAGGTACATATATCTCAGAGACCGGCCAGTCCTCTTGCTTCCTTCGTCGAATGGAGAGAGGGGAGACGACGGACTTTCTTGACAATACCACAGCAATTGAGAGGGATCAACTGCTCCTTTTCAGCCGCCTGGGAGGCTGACTCGTTCAGCTGAACTGCGGAGGCAGGCTATCAGCAGGTCCTGGCGGGCGTAGGTTGGGGTTTGTCTCAGACAGCCATCACCCATCGTATCTGGGTGCGGTCACCCCGCCGGGAGCTCCCTATCGCTCCTCCTCCCCTTTCTTCTACCTCCCAAATATCCTCCTTCTCTGCGTCGTCCTTAATATTGTCCAGATCCCTCGTTGCCCTCTGCCTCTTTATTTGCTGACGGTCTCTTGGGTGGCGACGGCCTCAGCGAGTAATACACCAGCCTGTCCGGTAGCACCATGCTGTAATCACTGTGCTGACTGGTCCTGATCCCCGTCACCCGCCAGAATGGTGCCGCGCAACGTATCCCAGCTGCGACCGCTTCAGCGACACCGTGCTCCATCCGCCAGCAGCGCCAAACCGTCGTATCGATCGCACTCCTCCTCTTTCGAGGCCGACGACGAACGCTCCAGCTCGGCCGACGACATGGGGCCCGAAGGCCCTCTGAGGGACGACCCGTCCCAGTACCCGGACGAGGATACTCGCTTGACCAGTACGAGGGAGCTTGCTGGGTGGTACGCATATGGCTTTGCAGCAGAGGTCTTTGTAATATGTGGCATTGGTGAGTTGCAGCTTTCGTCTGAAGCTCTATCTGATAAGGTTTTACGCTTGGGAACTTGACCTTGAGCTCATGCTCTCGTTCCTGACTTCCGCTTGCCTAGAAGATACAAGCTGACACTGCTCTGCAGGCTCGTTCATACCGATCACATTAGAGCAACTAGCACGAGAGAATGGCGTCCTCCTATCTGATCTGACGACGCCCTGCACTCCAAGCTCATCAATTCCGTCGGGCACTATACTTGGTGGCATGAACCGTTTCAAGGATCTGGGGCAATGTGTGGTGTACGTTGCCGGCTGGCAAATCAATACTGCAAGCTTTGCGATGTACGCCTTCTCCCTCAGTGTCCTCTTCCAAGCGCTCCTCGTTATATCCATAAGTTGTGCGGCGGACCATGGCAATTATCGCAAGAGGTTACTGCTCATCTTTGGCTTTTCCGGCTCCATTGCAATGATGCTCTTTCTTCCCGTCGCACCGAAGGCGCATCTTCTCGGAGCTTTGCTCGCAATAATCTCGAATACATGCTTCGGAGCCAGCTTTGTGCTGCTGAACTCTTTTCTCCCCCTCCTGGTGAGGCACCATCCTAAGGCTCAGTTTGGAACACGGGACCCAACACCAGAACTGCCTCAGGAGGAAATACCCCCTGTAGTAGATGCATCCACAGCTCTTCTTCCTGGGACCGCGGAACTTGCCCCAGCATTACCGTTAACCAACGACCTTACGTCCATTGAGCTGCAACTATCTACTCATATATCCTCTGTGGGCATCGGTATTGGCTATTGCGCCGGACTGCTCCTACAGTGCCTGTCGACTGTTATCGTGTTCTCCATGAATAGCACAACATTCTCCCTCCGTGTTGTGCTCTTTCTTATTGGAGTATGGTGGTTCCTCTTTACAATTCCTGCTGCATTATGGCTCCGACCGCGACCCGGTCCTCCGCTACCAGCCTACGATCTAAAGGATCCATCTGCAACACGTGGATGGATAGCCTACATCATTTACGCCTGGGCATCTCTCTGGCGAACTGTCAAGCTGGCTGGGCGCCTCAAAGATATCACTCTTTTCCTTGCAGCGTGGTTCCTCCTATCCGACGCCATTGCCACTGTGTCTGGGACCGCGGTCCTCTACGCAAAGACACAACTGCACATGGCGCCCGCGGAGTTAGGCCTCATCAGTGTGATTGCCACCTCAGCAGGTATTGTTGGGGCGTTTTCCTGGGCCACAATCTCACGCATCTTGAAGCTCCGCCCACATCAGACGATCCTGGCGTGCATCTGCATCTTCGAGCTAATCCCAATATATGGCCTCCTAGGATATCTTCCCATCGTCAAGAGGTGGGGTGTCATTGGCCTTCAGAGGCCGTGGGAGATGTATCCAGTTGGCGCCATATATGGCTTCGTCTTGGGCGGTTTCTCCAGCCATTGCCGCTCTCTCTTTGGCGAACTGATCCCGCCTGGCTCGGAAGCCGCTTTCTACGCACTTTACGCCATAACTGATAAGGGGTCTTCTGTCTTCGGCCCGGCTATCGTGGGCGCGATAGATGACCGCACAGGGGATATCAGACCGGCTTTCTGGTTCCTGGCCGCCTTGGTGGGGATTCCCGGTCCGTTGCTTTATTTTGTGGATGTGGCGAGGGGCAAGAAGGAGGGTGCCAAGCTCGCGGAGGTTATTGAGGGTTTCCGCGGTGCGGATTCTGAACCCGGGGAAGACAGCCCTTTGTTGGCCCGTGACCATGACGAGAGGTACGAAGAAAGGAGTCATAGAGAGTAATTTGTTGTTTACATGGTTTGGTGTTTGTTGGCTAGGCTGGCGCATCGCATTGTGTGGCGTTCTTTTTTCTCTCGGCGGCCATAAATAAATGCTTGCGAGTTGTCAATACAAGGCTGATGCGCTCGGTGGTACATACTGCTAATACATAAATGGGTCCTGGGAGAAGCATAAATATATTCCGGAGTGGAGACTAGGCCACTACATTTTTAATTCAACACTTCCACGCCACAGAACGTTTTAATCGTTATTAATATCCCAGGAAATAAAATCTAAACCATAAACTTTTTGCACTGACGATTTCGTAGCAGTAACAGAGTTTATATCGACTGATGCCGCGAGCAAGGCAGATGGCTTATGTCATCCTCGGCTCTAGCTGCACTGTTCAAAACATAAGAAACTGGAGCGATTCCTCCGGAAAGAAGATACTCTCCAATTTCCCACTCTGGATATTGCTTGAAAAGCTCGCAGTTCAATACCTGTTACATATTGGAGATTCTTGTAGACCGTAATATATGTAATATAATTTTCTAATCCAGCCATATTTCGCCCACCGGGACTGAGACCCATTCTCCGCCATCTCCCTTTGCCTGACATATCTTGGCACGTGATCAGCGGGCGCTAAAGTCGACCTAACAAGTCGCGATGGACGGCTGATCCATATTCGATGTGATGTGAAAGACAACAAGCCAGATACTCTCAACCACCACCGAGCGCGGCATTCCGCGATCCACTGAGCCCTCGACTACCCGCTGCATTGGATTCATGCGTCCATCCTTTGTGGCGACGGTCTCTCTTCCTCTGCTCAACAGGCTGGCGTCCCTCTCTAGTGCGCCCAGCCATCCTCTCGTGCAAGGTCGCGCCGAGGCTCTTCAGCAACATTAGACTCTAGCTGCCGTGGGAGATTGATCGTACGCCGGTATACCGAAAGACGAATTGTTCCTTGGCGTGATTTTCATATTCGATTGCGCGCATGTTCTTCCGTTATCAACGATAGCGCATCCAACATCGCTCGTTGCGCCCGTCTCTGAATATCTCAACTTCCGATTCCACCAGCCAAGATAGAGTCGACGGAGCGGCCGAAGGGCGAAGACGGGGTTGTAGGGGGTGTACTGGAGGCGGCGGAGAAGGACGGTCGAGCGACGATGCCGGGAGCCATCATGGAGAACGGTGCTGGGTCATATACGAACCATGATAGGGACCAACGGCAGAACGGCGTGAATGGTAGTGGCTACAGTATGGAGAAGGTCCAGGATAGAGGGAGCGAGCGGGTTGAGCAACAGCAGAAGATGGCTCCCCCCAACTCAGTCCACCGTGGATTGAATGGCACCTTGCCGGAGACCGTACAAGGAGCTGTATTTACCAATCCGCCCGATTTGCAGGAGCAGATCAACAAGCTTCCTCCAGAGATCGCACATATCACGCAGGGATATATGTCTTTGTCTACTCTCCTTAAGCGTCTCTCGGCAAGGACACACGAAG